ATATACTAATTTTTAAAATATCAAATTAAATGTTTGGCCAAAAAAAATCTTTCAAATCTGACTAGCTTTTTTTCCCCAAAACTTTGTCTTCAAAATAAGGGTGCATCTTATACACCGGTGCGTCTTATATTCCAAAAAATACGGTATCTAATTTAATTTAGTGGATAGAGCAGCCTGGAGGGACCAAAAGGTCCCTTGTTGTTCTTTAATGTGATGTTACTTTTCTGGGGTTCCAACATTCAGTATCAACTTCAGAAGATGTCATAATTTAAAAGAGGATGTTAGCAATATTCCTGATTCTAAGAATTCTTTGAAAAATATTAAAAAAGACCTGAATCATCTAATGATTAATCTTTTAATAATAACTAAAAATACTGGGTGATAAAAATAGATAAAACACCATGAGGGTAAAAATCAGGCATGTTACTCTCTCCCTTCTTTCATTTGTGGTAGATCAATAGGCAGGAACTTACAGGCCATTTAATTACATTTCTGTAGTATCTGTTGACAGAAACTTTAATGAAATATCACGAAACAGAATCAATGTGGATTCATTAAATGGAAACCTTACCTTACTAATCTATTAACTTTTATCTTTCTCGTTACCTAGACAATAAAATATGTCTCTACAGATAGTTTAAAAAAGCTTTTGATAAAGAGTCACACAAAAGATTAACTAAAAATAGTAATTATGGTGGGGATTGAGGAAAGGTTGAGAAACAGCAAAAAACGTTCTTATTAGAGGAGTCCAATTAAACTGGACCCTTGTTATTAGTATTAGTGGAGTGTCTCAGTGGCCAGTATTTTGATCTATGTTTTTCCCATTTGCATTAATGATATTGGTATGGACATAATTAGTAAATTAGTTAAGTTTTTACATGACATTAAACTCTGGTGTATTTCTAACCACCCTGAAGATGTTGAGGTATTACATTAAGTTTTTATTATTATTCAGGACATATTAGATCTGCAGCAATCAGTCTGAGTAGATAATATAAAACCAGGTAGACAGAGAACAATTAAACAGCAACAGTTTACATTTTGTTTGCCACTGATTTGATTATCTACCAAAATAAGCTGTAAATGATGTTAATCAGTGCTTTTGCACGTCGTTGCACTAAGTGATCATATTTCAGTTGAATATAAATAAATCAGTCCCAAATAAATTGTTCTATATTTGTTGAAAATGTGACTGAGAAAGTACGTGCTAAAGCTGTTATTTATTGTAGGAACAGAAAACTTGAAAAAGATGGATATATTATTTCAAAATGTTATTGAAATGATTTTGGGAAGTGGGAAATACTGGCTCCTATATATATTTTTCTCAATTTCCAAACCTTGCACACTAAAGTTTCTCCATTTTGAAAAAAGGGATCCCATCCCCAGTATTCAATAATCTTTGCTGTAGGTGTAAAGCAATCTGCCTTGAGAGGGGTTTGATTCTAATACTCATATCTAACTTAAGTGACTCAAAGTCATTGCTCTGCAAAGCTTCAAGCTCAAGTTCCTAGCCCAGTGTGTAACATCTCTCCTCCTCAACTATCTCAAGAGACATTCCCCCACCCTGCTGATTCAACTAAGTAGCTTGGTTTACCACTATGCAACATTACATTTTTATACATTAAAAGTTCCTGGCATACAACTGCCCACCTAGGTTTTTACATTAGTTGAAGAGTTGTCTGCTTGCACTGGAAGTCCTGGAAGCTCAGCTCTTAGATCGATGGTTTCAGAACACTAACATAAGCTAGCACTCTTGATTCAACTCAGTCAATACAGTTTGTTTCTCACCTATTTCAGACTATTACAAGTTATACATTATTTAATCATGGAAACATCATTAGTTATACACTATTTAATAATAAAGTGGCTATCAAATCTATATTGTTATATGATTCAATGCATATTAATTTACTTCACCCTGCACATCACTTTTCACTTTATCAGTACAGACTATTTTCAATTCCCAACTGGTAGATTATTAAGGACACAACTCACTATGCATGTTTACAACTCTGCCTACATGCTAAAAAAAGTTACAATGATACAATAAAAGTAGTTAAGACCTGAAGGAAATTCTTATATTTCTAATATCAAGTAAATTTATGGCCAACTATTAGTTGTGTAAAACAGAGCCAATAATCTTATCAAGTGTTATTATACCTGAACCAAATGCAAAGTCCACTTTTCATATCACAGATGGCCCATGCCAATGCATTTGTAAAGCCTTCAGTTTTCAATTCCACAGTGTCAGCAATACAATAACAGTGTTTATCCAACTCTACAGACAGACAGCCAGCATATATGAACTATTTAAAATCACAGGTTCTAAATTTGTTACAACAAAAATTAAAATTATGCACTATAAAGCTACTGATTATGCAGGAATTACAGACAAAAATAAAATTATGTGGCAAAATTTAAAATTATAACATTTACGAGGATGTTAGATATTATTCCACTATCATGAGTAATTTAACACTTATATTCTTTCTTGAATAACAACAACAATCACACTTTAAGATTTTAGATGTCTTTTGACAAACGATAAAATAAACTACCTGGCCAGCAGGCACTAGCTGTGAAGCAACAAGAAACACACTAACTCAAAGTTAATAAATCTGGCACCACTGATCTAGACTTCATTTAATAAGTCCAGAAATTCAGACTTTGATTACACAATTATTATGCAAAAAAAAATGATGAAGCTGAGTTAAGTTTGGAGTTATGTTATGATAAAATTTCAATGACAAAGTCATTTTCAAAAATCAGTCTACCTTCAGCAAACATTACGTATAAATGGAAGAACACAGAACAACACTTTTATATTTAACAAATATCATGTATATTCCAAACACAAATAACCAAAAAATGTACCAAAAATGAAGAAATGTTTACTATTAAATTTAGAAATGTTTTATAGCTTATAGAAACTTATTTCAACGATAAATATAATTTTCAGTATCTTTATCGCATTTATATTCCCAACTTACTTACCTTAAGGCACACACTTATAAGTGTTATGTTATATAAGACCAAAACAAAGTAAAACACTTGGCCTACAATGTCTTACAGCATATAGGCCTACTAACAGAATTTTCTAGTTTGAATTAGTATGTCCTAGCAACAACAAAATTTAGCTCCATGTGCTAAATTTGCCTTTTAATTTTAAACATTTTAATTTAAGTATGCTCTCCATGTTATACTAGCTCTTTTCAGATCTTGACCAAAGTTCTCTCTCCGTAAAAAATGTTTAATAAAATAAAATAGGAAATTTGCTAATACACAAATTCGGCTTTTAAATCCAAACCTCTACTTTGATTTATGTTACTTCAATATCATATTCAATACCATTATTACTACTAACACTGGTACATTACTAATATTAGTAATACTAATACTTAACATTTCACAAATATTAGTACTACTGAAATAGTACATTTGGTAAACAAAATACATTAATTTGTGTTCTAAACTACAGTGTAAAGTCAACACTATCACTTCTTTGAAGCAACGAGAGTTACAGTTAGTTAAGCCTATGCTGTGTGTATCTTAAACTTAGTCATGTATTAATTACTGTATGTAGTACCCAATAACTGTGCGCAAGCTTCGCATTATTGCTCAACTCAGTTCCTCAACGTAAGCCTAACTAGCAACAAAAAAAAAAACAATCAATCAACATATACTAATTTAGTTTGATTAGTAACGATTTCTAAATAAAAGTTCATATTTTACATAACTGATGTCTTGTTACAAATGGTAAAGTTTTTTTTTATGTTTCACCAACTTTATGTATATAATTGTTGATACATACTCTCTTTGTCCTTTCCAGCTGACAAGATCAAAACACGGAAATCAACAGCTGACGTAAGGAAATAACAACACTGTACGGCCTCATGGGTAATTGTGTCTACTTAGTTTGTAAAATTATTTTGTAGTGCTGTCTATTGAATATTTCAAAATGAAATCATTCTCCGTCAAATAATATTAAATATCAACATAATGCAACAGTAATTCTAAAATCAATATTTATATTAAGCTTACTAGTTGTGCAAAACATCTTCCAAGAAAATTTGAAAATTATCATATCATATAAGCAAATTAATATATTTTGTTTGTTTTTAAGCGCAAAGCTACATAATGGGTTATCTGTGCTCTACCAACCGCACGTATCCAAACCCTATTTTTAAAGTTATAATCCCCCAGTCCTACCGCTGAGCCACCGGAAATGGGGCGGGGGTGGTGCAAATTAATGTTATGTTTTATATATATATATTCTCTATATATTGGTTATTAAAATGTTAAATGTGTTAGAAAAATTTGTACTTGAAATAAATTTAACAACAACAAAAAAAAACAGATAGTTATTCTTCACAAAAATAAAATTTCAATTTTGTTTTCTGCCATAAAAGTCTTATCTTTACTCCTAACTTAAGTGTACAATATTTCAGAAAAGTGGCCAATATACACAGCGTGGTCACAAGTAAGTAGACACCACCTTTTCAGAAAAAAATGAAAATTTTCAGTCATATTGACATGAATTGATATATTTATAATTTAATGAATATCTAGTAGATCTTCCTTTCGCTTCGTGGAGTTCGTTGATCCTTTGGGGCATCGTGGGAATCATCTCGTCAATTTTGATTGTGGGATTTTCGCCCACTCTTGCTTCAAAACTTGGAGTAGATCGCTCTTCGAAGTTGGTTTTTTTGGTTGTTTCTTGACTTGCCGTCGAGTATGGCCCAGAGGTTTTCCGATGGGGTTCATGTCAGGAGATTGGCTCGGCCAGGCCAACTTCTGGATACCATTTTCTTCCTACCACTTTTGGGTGTTTCTAGCTGTGTGACACGGTGCTCCATCATCCTGGAACAACGTTGTGTTCTAGTCCACGAAACCCGAGGAATAAAGTGGCAAGAGTCCTTCCTCCAATACTTCGACGTATTTCGCAAAATTTATGTTGCCAACGCACTCCACTAAGCTAGATCTCCCACCAACCCAAACATCTCCCCAAACCATCACGCTGAAACCACCATGCTTCACAGTTGGCTGCAATCTGTTGAGCCCAAACTCTTGGAGAGGCATTCTCCAGACCCATATCCTTCCACTGTCCGACAATTGAGCGAATCTTGATTCGCCTGAGAACAATACGGTCTTATTGTCATCAGATCACTTGCCCACTTTTTTCGTCTGACTATGTTGGCAGG